CTGCTCGTCCCTCGTACCCTCCCCCCCACCGTTAGCTTTCAGCCACTAGGCCCCAAAACTCAGGAATGCTTTCTCTCAATCCCCCCGCGTCACCCCCTCTGTTTCCTCTATCAAGTCCCGCCTGTGCTTATACCACACATCCCCCCACCCGGCCCCGGCTCGGAGTCAGGCTCTGCTTGTGGTAGTTGTGCTGAGGTGCTGCCCTGTGTGGAGGGAGCTGTATAAGTGCAAGTTGTTGTTGTGTAAATGTAATTTGTTGTTGGAGATTTAAACAGTGAGGAGTTTCTGTGTATGTCAGACACGAGTCTCGTAAAAAGGCAACAGGGAAATAGGCCATTAGCTAAAGAGAGTTTTAATAAAAGCTTTGCTGTTATATATATTCTTATACAGTCTTTCAGTGAACTTTTTATCATGAGATGAGGAGTGTTCATCCGTACGTTGACTGACCAGCGAGTCTCTCACTCTGTGTACTTCCCCACCAGCACTGGCCAGATAACGCAGTCTGTGCGGCACGTGTAAACCATGTGAAAACCATGCGCAAACCACGTGTAAAGTACAAAACACATCCAAGCCACATACTGGCCATGAGAACAATGTGTAAACCACATGTAAAGCCCATGTACACAATCTGAGTAAAGTCTGGGTATAAACAGCCTCAGGTGAAACTCTGTACATATGGTTTACACAAGTCAGCTGCTCACTCACCTCTGAGTCAGAAAGTCGTGGGTTCAAGTCACCACATCAGCAGAAATATAATATATCTTGAGACGTCTCAATGGCATGATAAGGCACTATATCAAATGCAAGGATGATTATTATTCCCCCGCCCCCATTGTTTTTCACAGCTATTTTCAGTCTGGTGACTGTTTCACAGATACTTATAAATGTTTGCGATGATTCAGTTAAAAAAAAGCTTATTATAGCAGAGAAATCCCACCAGAATCTTATCTTATGTCTCAGCCGGTCAGTCGCTCACACTCTCGCTTGCAAGTTTGGAGTTTGTGGGTTTGAGCCCTCTCCCCTGTGTCAGGGGCTCTGAGCTCACAGTCCTGACTGACACTCCAGTGCAGCGCTGGGGAGACAGAGAGAGAGAGAGAGCTGGGAGAGAGAGAGAGAGAGCTGGGGCGGGGAGAGAGAGAGAGAGCACTGGGGGGGGAGAGAGACAGAGTGCGCTGGGGCAGGGGGAGAGAGAGAGAGAGAGCACTGGGGGGAGAGAGAGAAAGATAGCTGGGGTGGGGGGGGGAGAGAGAGAGAGAGCACTGGGGGGAGAGAGAGCGCGCGAGAGAAAGAGAGAGGCAGCCCTGGAGGAGAGAAAGAGAAAGAGAGACAGCGCTGGGGGAGGGAGAGAGAGAGCACTGGGGGGAGAGAGAGAGAGAAGAGAGAGAGGCAGCCTTGGGGGAGAGAGAGAGAGAGCGCTGAGGGGGGAGGAGGAGAGAGGGAGAGAGAGAGAGACACATTGTCCTTCAGATGAGATGTTAAACCTCACTCCCCGTCTGTGCCCTGATCGGGGGATGTTAAAGATCCCTTGTTCCCAGTGTCCACCTGATCAGAGCACAGACGGGGAAGTGAGGTTTAACATCTCATCTGAAAGACGGCGTCTCTGACTATCTGACCTTCCGCCAGAATGTCAGCCTGGACCAGGACCAGGGTGATCCAATGAGCAATTTAGAAATCCAGCCTTTGGCCCTCAGCGGCTAAAAGGTTGGATCATCTCTGGGATTGCCGGGTGTAGTTGGGATGTGGGGAATTCTCAGCTTGTTTTGGAGACTCGGTGATGGGTTTCCATGTGTGTCTGACACCCGGCTGAGCAAAAAAAAATTACCGGCTGTGCCAGCCTGACACTTGTGAGACAGTGTAAGACGAGGTGGAGTTTCAGGGCAATGGCTCAGTTTGCCTTCACAGGGACTAAGGAAATGTACTGATTGTGTGTCATTGGCTCATCAAAACGAGTGGGCGAGTGGGGATGGCCGGGGGTCTGGTGATGTGGTCATTCAGGCTGTACTTCTCACTCTCAGGGTCTGTCAGAGTGACCACTCCTTCCTTCTCCCCCTCCGTCTAACTCCTCCGATTGTGCCTCTTCGTCACAAAGTAACTCGCTGCGAAGAAGCAGATCAGAGCTCCGCACTCGAACAGAACTTGAACCCCCATATACCTGGTGACACAGAGACAACTGTCAGAGGTCAACAATATCTGAGTCTTTGTGCAGTGGTTACACTCTGACCCGAGCGACAGGACACGGGTTCAAACCCCAGGCGCTCCGGGGTGAACCCTTAGGCCAGTTTCCTAAGTCCACACACACTCACACACACACCCTCATACTCACACACACACCCTCACACTCACACACACACACTCACTCATTCTGACGTACACACTCACACACACACACAAACTTACTCACACACACACACACTCACCACACACACACACACACTCACACACACACACACACACGCGCGCGCACACCCCTCGGTTTACCGGCAGTAAGTAGGAACCTGTTTGTTAGTCGATTGGTGGATCACTTTGTGTGGCAAATAACTCCTTCAAAAAAATTTGTTCAGTCATTCCATGACTGTGTGTGTGACGGTCACTGTGTGTGTGAGACGGTCACTGTGTGTGTGACGGTCACTGTGTGTGTGACAGTGACTGTGTGTGTGTGACAGTGACTGTGTGTGTGACAGTGACTGTGTGTGTGAGACGGTGACTGTGTGTGTGTGACAGTGACTGTGTGTGTGTGACAGTGACTGTGTGTGTGTGTGACAGTGACTGTGTGTGTGACGGTCACTGTGTGTGACAGTGACTGTGTGTGTGCGACAGTGACTGTGTGTGTGACGGTCACTGTGTGTGTGACAGTGACTGTGTGTGTGTGACAGTGAGTGTGACAGTGACTGTGTGTGTGTGACAGTGACTGTGTGTGTGACGGTCACTGTGTGTGTGTCAGTGACTGTGTGTGTGTGACAGTGTGTGTGACAGTGACTGTGTGTGTGTAGACAGTGACTGTGTGTGTGACAGTGACTGTGTGTGTGTAACAGTGACTGTGTGTGTGTGACAGTGACTGCGTGTGTGAGACAGTGACTGTGTGTGTGACAGTGACTGTGTGTGTGAGACGGTGACTGTGTGTGTGTGACAGTGACTGTGTGTGTGACAGTGACTGTGTGTCTGACAGTGACTGTGTGTGTCACAGTGACTGTGTGTGTGACAGTGACTGTGTGTGTCACAGTGACTGTGTGTGTGACAGTGACTGTGTGTGTGAGACGGTGACTGTGTGTGTGTGACAGTGACTGTGTGTGTGACAGTGATATGTGTGTGACAGTGACTGTGTGTGACAGTGACTGTGTGTGTGTGACAGTGACTGTGTGTGTGACAGTGATATGTGTGTGACAGTGATATGTGTGTGACAGTGACTGTGTGTTTGAGACAGTGACTGTGTGTGTGAGACAGTGACTGTGTGTGTGTGACAGTGACTGTGTGTGTGACAGTGATATGTGTGTGACAGTGACTGTGTGTGTGAGACAGTGACTGTGTGTGTGAGACAGTGACTGTGTGTGTGACAGTGATATGTGTGTGACAGTGATATGTGTGTGACAGTGACTATGTGTGTGTGACAGTGACTGTGTGTGTGACAGTGATATGTGTGTGACAGTGATATGTGTGTGACAGTGACTGTGTGTGTGTGACAGTGACTGTGTGTGTGACAGTGATATGTGTGTGACAGTGATATGTGTGTGACAGTGACTGTGTGTGACTGTGACTGTGTGTGTGAGACAGTGACTGTGTGTGACAGTGATATGTGTGTGACAGTGATATGTGTGTGACAGTGACTGTGTGTGTGAGACAGTGACTGTGTGTGTGAGACAGTGACTGTGTGTGTGTGACAGTGATATGTGTGTGACAGTGATATGTGTGTGACAGTGACTGTGTGTGTGTGACAGTGACTGTGTGTGTGACAGTGATATGTGTGTGACAGTGATATGTGTGTGACAGTGATATGTGTGTGACAGTGACTGTGTGTGACAGTGACTGTGTGTGTGACAGTGACTGTGTGTGTGAGACAGTGACTGTGTGTGTGTGACAGTGACTGTGTGTGTGACAGTGATATGTGTGTGACAGTGATATGTGTGTGACAGTGATATGTGTGTGACAGTGACTGACTGTGACTGTCAGCAATTAGCTGCTGATTTTTGTCCAAGCTCCTCAGTCACTCCACTTTACAGTATATTCCGTGAAGCACTTTGGGACGTCTCAACAACATGATGAGGCGCTGCATCAAATGCCGCGCAGCACCGGGGGAGACTGTCACAGTGTCAGTGACGTTAAAGATCCCTCGATGCTGTCGGAAATAGAGACGGGAGCTCCTCTCTCTCTCTCTCGCTCTCTCTCTCCTGTTGTCCTGGCCGACAAGACCCAGATACAGTCACTTCCTGGCTGTTTGCGCGGATGTTTCTGGGCATAAATTGGCTCCGTGTTTGCCCACAAACAGTGACTACACTTTGCAGTGAATCCTGTGAAGTGCTTTGGGACCTCCTCGAGACATGAAAGGAGCTGTATGTAACGTAAGGAGGACCATCGTTATAAAAACAGTCACTACACTGGTGGTCGGGGGCTGGTGTGAGGGCAGCGGGAGGAGGACGGAGAACACACCTGATCCGGAACCGATCGAGATCATAGTATCTGCAGGCTGTCTGCTCCCCGCACTTGGTTTCCCAGTGGATACAGGTTTTATCGATCACCCGTCCGTACAGTATAGGTCCTGGCAGCCAGGCTGCACCACACCGGGCAGGAGACAGACACCATCATCATCAACAACAACAACAACAACCACGTTTACCCAGCGGGCCTCAAGCAGGCGGCTTCCTGTTGGAGTGACGCAGCGAGTGGAGGTGCGGGAGGGGAACGTAGGTCAAAAAGGAAGGTCTTCAGACGCGATCTGAAGAGGGTGAAAGAGGGGGCGGAGGGTCAGAGGGAGAGAGTGTCCACCAGCCCCTCACCAGCCCCCCACTCTCCCCCCACCCCCACCTTAGAGACAGAGACAGAGGCTGATCCCAGTGTTTGGGACAGTGACAACAGCTCAATGCCGTGATGGGGGGACGGGCAGGCGGGGGTAGTGGGGGGGTTCTGAAGGGACTTTTTGCTGTTGTGATCAGTGCTAACAGACCCCCAGCACTTACCGAGTGCACGGAACAGCATGTACTGGATTCCGATGGCAAAGGATTTGTCCTGTGGCTTCACTGACCTGGAAATCCAACCAGACACATCATTCCAGACACACAACCCAGACACCAGCCTCACACCTCACAGTCCAGCCTGACACTCCAGCACAACGCTGGGGAGAGTCAGAGCGCTGGGGAGAGAGCGCTGGGGGGAGTCAGAGCGCTGGGGAGAGTCAGAGCACTGAGGGGAGAGGGAGAGCGCACTGGGGGGAGAGAGAGAGAGAGAGAGCGCTGGGGGGAGAGAGAGAGAGATAGCGCTGGAGCGAGAGAGAGAGAGAGAGCGCTGGTGGGGGAGAGAGAGAGAGAGCGCTGCGAGGAGAGATAAAGAGAGAGAGAGCGTTGGGGGGAGAGATAGAAAGAGAGCTGGGGGGAGAGAGAAAGAGAGAGCACTAGGGGAGAGAGAGCGTGGGGGAGAGAGAGAGAGAGAGAGTGCTGGGGGGAGAGATAGAAAGAGCGCTGGGGGGAGAGAGAGAGCGCTGGAGGGAGAGTGAGAGAGAGAGAGCACTAGGGGAGAGAGTGTGGGGGAGAAAGAGAGAGAGAGAGAGAGTGCTGGGGGGAGAGTGAGAGAGAGAGAGCACTAGGGGAGAGAGCGTGGGGGAGAGAGAGAGAGAGTGCTGGGGGGAGAGATAGAAAGAGCGTTGGGGGGAGAGAGAGAGAGTGCTGGTGGAGGTTTAACTGTTAATATCAGACTATATAGAGATGTCACTGTTAATAACAGATATATAGAGGTGTCACTATATAGAGGTGTCGGTCTTATAGTCATATAGAGGTGTTATTGTTAATAACAGACTGTATAGAGGTTCTCACTATTAATATTAGATGATATAGAGGTGCTCACTGTTAATTTCAGACCATGTGTCACTATACAGAGGTGCGACTGTTAATAACAGACTGTATAGAGATGTCACTATATAGAGATGTCAGTGTTAATAACAGACTGTATTGTATAGTATAAAATAATATTAGGAAAAGCAGACTCACCGCAGCACTAGGATGAAGGACGGGGTCTGAGAGAGACTGGCTGTAAACCCCATCAATGTGAGCAGCAGCATGAAGGGCATCAGGAGGTGGGAGCAGCCAGCGCCACACGTCCCTGGTGTGGCCCATTCCCCAGGGCCCAGGCAGCTACAGTCTGTGTAGTTCTGGGGAGATCACAACAACAACAGCGTTCACACAGCGCCCAGACACAGAGTAACGCCTCACAGAGCCATACATGGCTGGGGTGGGGTGGGGTGGGGCCGAGAGACAAGGGGTTACCCAGACAGAAGGAGTTCCAAATGTTAGGCATAGCTTCTCAGATATCATCATAATAATCCCGGCATTCCATACAGCGCTGATCACATCGTTGAGACATCTCAAAACCCTTCGCACAATATAGTGTCAAGTGGAGTGACTGTATTTTGTGGATGAAACACGATAACAAATTGCACACAGCAGTGAGTGTCTCACACACAGTCATGGATTGAAGTCACCAATTTTTTATTAATACAAATGATTTGCCAATTGACCAACAACTGGGTTCCTGCTTCTGCCCAGTAAACAGAGGCCTGAGTGTGGAGTAAAGAAACATTCCAAAGCGTTTCACAGGAGTAAAGTATAGTTGGCAGCACTTCCCACACACAGCCACGGAGCGAGGGACGTGTTATTGGGGGATTGTTGTCCAGGACACCAGGAGAGAGAGAGAGAGAAACTCCCTTCTCTTTCCCAACAGCCGTGGGATCTTTAACATCCCCCCGAACAGGCAGACCCTAACCCTAACCGGGGGGTAATGGCTCATCGGGAGGACGGCACCTCCCACAATGCCACCCCCCCACCCCCCCAGCACTGCATTGGAGCATCAGCTTAGACTGTGTCTGTGAGCCAGACTGACACTGAGCCGGGCCGACACGCACTGAGCCGGGCCGACACGCACTGAGCCGGGCCGACACGCACTGAGCCGGGCCGACACGCACTGAGCCGGGCCGACACGCACTGAGCCGGGCCGACACGCGCTGAGCCGGGCCGACACGCACTGAGCCGGGCCGACACGCACTGAGCCGGGCCGACACGCGGAGCCGGGCCGACACGCACTGAGCCGGGCCGACACGCACTGAGCCGGGCCGACACGCGGAGCCGGGCCGACACGCACTGAGCCGGGCCGACACGCACTGAGCCGGGCCGACACGCACTGAGCCGGGCCGACACGCACTGAGCCGGGCCGACACGCGCTGAGCCGGGCCGACACGCACTGAGCCGGGCCGACACGCACTGAGCCGGGCCGACACGCACTGAGCCGGGCCGACACGCACTGAGCCGGGCCGACACGCACTGAGCCGGGCTGACATCATAATATAATATAATAATTATAATCCTTGCATTTGATATAGTGCTTTTCACGTCTTCTCGACGTCCCAAAGCAGTTCACAGAATACACTGTAAAGTGAATTGACTGTCTATTTGTGGGCGAACGCGGCAGCAGATTGCGCGCAGCAATGTCCCACAAACAGTCGTGGATTGAAAATGAGCAATTTATTATTGTTTTGATTTGGAGGGATTATTATTAGGCTCTGTGTGGAGTAAGGAAACTTGCCCGAGGTTTCGCCCTCTGCCTGGAATTGAACTCAGGTCTCTCGCTCGCAAAGCGAGTGCTCTAACCACTGAGCTACAGGACTCCACTGGATCATAATTCAATAATTCAATCATGATTCAATAATTGCATTGAATCATAAATCAATGGGTTGAAGAGTGAGATTGTGATAAATTTCTTTCTTCGGTCAAAGGGCAATAAATAGATCCAGGAAGGAAACCTGTGTTTGTGTAACTCCTTTTACATCTGTTAACTGAGAAGCGTCACTTGTACAAAGTAAACAGAACAAATACTTCATAGACATTTCCCACACACAAACACAAAAGAATTTATCTGGGGAATTGATCTGGGAGAAATTCCCTTCTCTTGTTTTTCCCTCAGTACTGTCGTGGGATTTTTATCATCCAAAGACACAGACATGAACTTATCTTAATGTCTTTTCACCCATCGTGTCTGTGCTGGGGCTCGCTCCCCCACTGTAGGTTATATTCCCTCTCGAGTCGAGGGAACGGCAGAATGTGGCTGAACTCCCAGATTCCAGTCATTGTTGTATTGCAGTAAAACCAGTTTGAAGGTATTTTTTTCCGGAGCCGGCCATGGCCTGCATCCGGTTTATTAAAAAATTCAGGCTCATACTTGTCCCCCCTCCCCTACGTTCCAATGCCGGTGGCTGTGTTTTCAGCCGCTATGACCCCTAGAACTCTCGCCCTCTTTCTCTCTTCCTTGTCCTTTCCTTCCCCATGAACATGAGCAGATGAGCGAGTGGAACAGAAATGGAGAGAGTTCTCCTTAAACCAGTGAGGTTGGCAGAGCAGTCGGCAGAGCAGCAGAGCCCGGGGGCTGTTTGTATAAATGATGATCTCAGCAGTTGATTCCCAGAATTGATGGTTTTGATTACAGAGCACCACGTCTTCTGAGCTGATATGAATTGTAAGAATTGTTGCTGTTATTGTGATTAAGAATAATCCTGGCATTTGATACAATGCCTTATCACGTCTTCGAGACGTCTCAAAGCGCTTCACAGGATCTGCTGTAAAGTGAACTGACTGTGTATTTGTGGGTGAAACACGGCAGCCAATTGCGCACAGCAGTGAGTGAAGGGATTATTACCCCCGGATGCGCCAATCGACTAACAACCAGGTTCCTACATACTGTTGGTAAACAGAGGCCTGTGTGTGGGTGAGTGTGTATGTGGGTGTGTGTATCTAAGTGAGTGTGTGTGTGTTTGAGTGTGTATGTGTGTGTGTGTGTATGAGAGTGTGTGTTATATATCTAAGTGTGTGTGTGTGTATGTGAGTGTGTGTGTATGTGAGTGTATGCGTGTGTGAGTATTTAAGTGAGTGTGAGTGTGTATGTGTGTGTGTGAGTGTATGTGTGTGAGTGTGTGTCCTGGGTGACTTTAACCTGCACTTCACCCCCTCCTGCTCCACCTCCTCAGACTTCTCTTCCCTGCTCTCCTCGCTCAACCTCTCCCTCCACATCAACTCCCCCACTCACAGTCACGGCCACCCACTCGACTTGGTGATCACCCGGGGCCTCAGTGTCTCGGATGTCACTATCACCGACAAGGCCGTCTCCGATCACCACTTCATCTCCTTCACCACCTCCACCCCCCTCCCCACCTCCACCAGACCCACCACCATCTTCTACCGCCCTGGAAGAAGTTACCCCCACAATCCCTAACCGCTGCCTTGGAGTCCTCTGAACTCCTCTCCCTCTGGCCTTCAACCCTCACTGACCCCTCTTCTCCTCTCACCCTCCTCCACCACACCCTCTCCTCCACACTCGACACTCTTGTCCCCATCACCTCCCGTACTGTATCCTACTCTCGCTCCTCCCCCTGGTTCACCATCCGCTCACTGAAGAGCCAGGTGTGGGCCGCTGAACGCACCTGCCTCAAATCTGGCCTAACGGTCCACCGACAAATCTGGCTGGACCTCCTCAATATCTACCGCTCCACTCTAGCCTCGGCCAAGTCGTCCTTCTTCTCCAGGATAATCCTGGAGGCGAAGGACAACCCCAGGCTACTGTTTTCTACCATATCCCGACTCCTCCATTCCCCCCGCCACCCCGCGCAGGTCATCTCCTCCAACCTTCACTGCGAGGAGATGCTGGATTTCCTTGAATCCAAAATCAAGGGAATTCGCTCCGCGGTCACTTCCCCTCCAACATCCACCAACCCCCCACCCCTTCCCTCCCACACTCCGACTCCTACCCATCCTCCCCTACACACTTTCGTACCCGTTTCCCCACCCTCTGTCACCAAACTCATCCTATCCCTGAAACCCAACACCTGCTCCCTTGACCCCATCCCCACTCCACTCCTTATCTCCCAGCTCCACCTCCTTGCTCCATATCACAGACATCATCAACCTGTCCCTCTCCTGTGGCTCTGTTCCCATTCCCTTAAAAATTGCCACCATCACTCCCACCTTGAAAAAACCCTCCCTTGATGCGTGGCAGCTATCAAGCTACCGGCCCATCTCCAACCTCCCCTTCCTGTCCAAGGTCCTGGAACGAGTTGTCGCCTCCCAGCTGCGCTCTTTCCTCTCCACCCATTCATTATTCGAACCCCTTCAGTCGGGTTTCCGTGCTGCCCATAGCACAGAAACTGCCCTGGTCAAGGTCACCAATGACATCCTGACCATCTGTGACCAGGGCTCCCTCTGCCTCCTCGTCCTCCTCGACCTATCGGCAGCATTCGATACGGTCGACCACACTATCCTCCTCCACCGCTTGTCCTCCCACCTCAACCTTCAAGGCCCTGTCCTTGAGTGGTTTAGGTCGTACCTCTCCCACCGTCTTCACTTTGTTTCCACGAATGGTTTTTCCTCCACCCCCCGCACTGTCTCGTGCGGTGTCCCTCAGGGCTCTGTCCTCGGTCCCCTCCTCTTCACCCTCTATATGCTCCCCCTGTGGTGACATCATCCGCAGACATGGGGTTAACTTCCACATGTATGCGGATGACACCCAACTCTACCTTTCCTCCTCTACCCTCAACTCCACGACCACCGATGTCCTGACAGCTGTCTGTCCGACATCGAGTCCTGGACGAGAGACAACTTTCTTCAGCTCAACGTGTGCAAAACTGAGGCCCTCCTGATTGGCTCACGTCAGCGCCTCCGCACCTCAGGCGCTGACACCATCAGCATCCGCACTCTCCACCTCTCAAAGCCATCAGGAACCTCGGGTTCTGTTCGACCCTGAGCTGTCCTTTCTCCCTCATATCCGCACCACAACTGGCACCGCCTTCCATCACCTCCGGAACATCGCCACTACTCTCACCCCTCACGCGCTGAAACTCTGGTCCACACCTTTATCACCTCAGGCCGACTATGGGAACTCTCTCCTCGTCGGCCTTCCGGGCCCTCCCTCCACACTGCAGGTCATTCAGAACTCTGCAGCTCATGTACTGTCCCGCACCATGACAACCCGACCACCTCACTCCCCTCCCCACTCCTCCACCCTCTCGCACTCACTCCCACCCTCGCCCCTCACCCTCGCCCTCACTCCCACCCTCACCCTCTCTCCCACCCTCGCCCGCCCTCACCCCTCACTCCCCCGCTCTCCTCCCCCATAGTCCCAGAGGATCGATTTCAAAATCCTCATCCTCACCTACAAGGACATTCACGGCCTCGCTCCCTCCTACCTCTCTGACCTACTATCCCCCCACATACCTGCCCGTCCCCTCCGTTCCTCTGGCTCCGGTCTGCTCCACATCCCCCGCCCCAACCGCCCTACCATCGGTGGTCGGGCCTTCAGCCTCTCAGCCCCCAGGCTCTGGAACTCCATCCCCAGTGCCTTCGCTGCTTCCTCCCTTTCCTCCTTCAAGGCCGGTCTCAAGACCTTTCTCGTTGATCGTGCCTTCAGCTCACCTGTGACTCTCTACCCCCTCCTCGCTCCCTCCCTTCCCTCCCCTCACCCTGACCATCTCCCCCTCCCTTGCTCCCCCCCTTCCCTCCCCTCACCCTGACCATTTCCCCCCTCCTCGCTCCCTCCCTTCCCTCCCCTCACCCTGACCATTTCCCCCCTCCTCGCTCCCTCCCTTCCCTCCCCTCGCCCTGACCATTTCCCCCACTGCTCGGGTCCTGACCCAACTGTACAGTGCCTTGGGACGTCCTCCCGACGTGAAAGGCGCTCTATAAATGGAATCTTGTTGTTGTTGTTGTATGAGTACTTAAGTGAGTGTGAGTGTGAGGAGTAAGGAAACTTGCCCAATGTTTTGCCCTGCCTGGGAATCGATTATCACTTTACAACAAAGAGTTTCCCCCACGGCCCGACTCCAGGATAAGATGTCAGTGTTGTTTTGGGGCAGGAGCGTGGGGCAACTGTTTGCCAATTGATGTCAGTTTGTGGCATACAGCTCTGCTGCTCACACTGTTCTTCCTGGTATTTTATACGTCAACGCATCAAACGTCAACGCTCTCTCTCTCTCTCTCTCTGTCTCCCCCCAGCGCTGCACTGGAGAGTCAGCCTGGACTGTGAGCTCAGAGACCCTGACGTGGGGCTCGAACCCACAACCTCCTGACCCCGAGACAAGAGAGCAAGAGTTTGAGGAAACGGCTGGGAACCCTGAGAGACACAGAGAGATACACACATGCAGACACAAACACACATACAGAGAGCAGAGATAGACAGAAAGAAACTCAGACCCCACTCCCCCGCTCTCCCCATAGCCCTGATCAACCTCACTCCCCACCGCGCTCTCCCCATAGCCCTGATCAACCTCACTCCCCACCGCGCTCTCCCCATAGCCCTGATCAACCTCACTCCCCACCGCGCTCTCCCCATAGCCCTGATCAACCCCACTCCCCACCGCGCTCTCCCCATAGCCCTGATCAACCTCACTCCCCACCGCGCTCTCCCCATAGCCCTGATCAACCTCACTCCCCACCGCGCTCTCCCCATAGCCCTGATCAACCTCACTCCCCACCGCGCTCTCCCCATAGCCCTGATCAACCCCACTCCCCACCGCGCTCTCCCCATAGCCCTGATCAACCCCACTCCCCACCGCGCTCTCCCCATAACCCTGATCAACCCCACTTCCCCCCGCGCTCTCCCCATAGCCCTGATCAACCCCACTCCCCAGCGCTCTTCCCATAGCCCTGATCAACCCCACTCCCCAGTGCTCTCCCCATAGCCCTGATCAACCCCACTCCCCCGCCCTCTCCCCATAGCCTTGATCAACCCCACTCCCTCGCGCTCTCCCCATAGCCCTGATCAACCCCACTCCCCAGCGCTCTTCCCATAGCCCTGATCAACCCCACTCCCCAGTGCTCTCCCCATAGCCCTGATCAACCCCACTCCCCCGCCCTCTCCCCATAGCCTTGATCAACCCCACTCCCCCACACTCTCCCCATATCCCTGATCAACCCCACTCCCCCAGACTCTCCCCATAGCCCTGCAAACTTTTCTTTCCCAAATAATTATCTGCTTCTCTCTTAAAAGTTTTTATGGAATTAGCTTCCCCCAGCCTTTCAGGCAACAACAACTCGCTGTGTGAAAACATTTCTCCTCACTTCCCCTCTGTTTCTTTTAACAACTATTTTAACAGAGAGAGGGAGAGAGAGACAGAGAGAGAACACAGAGAGACACAAACACACAGAGAGCGAGCACGCAGAGCGTGACAGAGACCAATTCAGGGGCGAGAGAGAGAGAGAGAGACTGAGCTAGGGTGAAGAGTGGCAATGTGGGACAGAAGATCAAAGCTCTCTTACCTGCACTCTGCCTTGGGCCGTGGTGAAGGAGATGGACTTGCAGCCGGCGAGACAGGGGGAGACAAACTCGAGGCCGGTGCTGGCACAGACGGGGTTGAAGGCCTGGGGATCACAGGAGCAGTTCTGACTGCACGGCAGGAGTATTGTGGGGCTCAGGGTCCTGCAGAAGATCATAGGAACATCGGAGTGGAGAAAACCAAAGTCCATCCAGTTCATCATCCACCTTCCAGCCCGTCGCTTGCACATGTCATGACCTGAACTACTGATATATTATCTCCCAAATAATAATAATAATAATCCTTGATTCAAAACTCAAAGTGCTTCACAGAATATATGGTAAAGTGAATTCATAGATTCATAGATTCATAGAACGTTACGGCACAGAAGGCCATTCGGCCCATCGAGTCTGTGCGGCTCTTTGACAGAGCGTCACTTTCACTAACCCCAATCACCAGCTTTCTCCCCATAACCCGTCTTCCCCGATACCTCTCCAGTTCTCTCTTAAAAGCTGTTATCGAATCGGACGTCACTGCCCTTTCGGGCGGATCATTCCAAATCCCAACAACTCGCTGAGTGAAAACATTTCTTCTAACCTCCCCTCTGCTTCTTTTGGTAGATATCTTAAGACTGTGACCACGGGTCACAGACACACCTACCAGCGGAAACAGCTTCTCCCTATCTCGCCTGTCGAAACCTTTCATGATCTTGAAGACCTCTATCAGGTCCCCACGTAACCTTCTCTGCTCTAATGGGAAAAGTCCTAACTTCTCCAGTCTGTCCTCATAGCTAAGGTTCCCCATTCCTGGTATCATTCTCGTGAATCTCCTCTGTACCCTTTCCAGTGGCTTAATGTCCTTCCTGAGGTAAGGTGCCCAGAACTGGATGCAGTACTCCAGCTGAGGCCTAACCAGTGTTTTGTACAGATTAACCATAACCCCTACTCTTATACTCTGTGCCCCTACTAATGAAGCTCAGTACACCAAATGCCTTTTTTACTGCCCTATCTACCTGCCCCACTACCTTTAATGATTCGCTTACTTGAACGCCCAGATCTCTGTACGTTCACCCCCTTAAGATTGAGCTACTAAGTCTATATTGCCTCCTATCATTTTTCCTCCCTAAGTGTATCACCTCATACTTATCCACATTGAAATCCATCTGCCACATGTCAGCCCTTTCCACCATTCTGTGTATGTCTGCCTGCAGTCCGTCACAATCTTCTTCACTATTTACTACCCGACCTAACTTGGCATCATCTGCAAACCTGGAAATAGTGCTCTCTGTGCCCAAGTTCAGATCATTGATAAATATTAGAAAGAGCAGTGGTCCCTATACCAATCCCTGGGGGACACCTCCTTCCATTTCAAGAAACACCCATTAACCACCACCCTCTACTTTCTGTCACACAGTCAGTTCCTAATCCAAACGGCTACTGTCCCCTTTGTACCCGTGGGCCTCTAATTTTTGTATTAATCTCTTATGCGGTACTGTGTCAAAAGCCTTTTTGAAATCCATGTAAATAACGTCCACCGCATTTTCCTCATCAACCCTCGCAGTCACCTCTTCAAAACATTCTGTTAGATTTGTTGGAAGGATTGAGTGACCACCTTTTTTTAAGGGATTATTACTCCTAGAAAACAATCCGTTAATCAACCAACAACCAGGATCCTGCTTACTTCTAGGTAAACAGAGGAGTGCGGATTAAGGAAACTTACCTGAGGTTCTCCTTTCCCGGGAATCGAACCCAGGTCATCTCACTTGCGAGGCAAGTGATCTAACCAACAACATTACAAATTTGTGGATAGGATAGTGGAGCTGGGGAGATTGGCAAGGAGGGAGACACTTTGAGAGAGACACAGAGGGAGAGACACACACAGAGATATAGAGAAAAATACAGAGACACAGATAAAGACACAGAGAGATACACATACATAGAGACACAGAGAGAGACACAAAGAAACAAAGAGAAAGAAACAGAGACACAAATGGAAA